GGAGCAGCACGTGGTCCTCCAGCACCCCATACGACCTGCTGCTCCCACGGATCATTCTGGGAGGGATGAGGGGGGAGCGCAGACATGGCTCCTGCTTGAGACAAAGATGGCGTTGCCTGTGAGAGCTCCGTGGGCTCCTGCGTTGCTTCCATGCCGTCGTCCTCCTGCTACGCCCCGTCGTACTGTGTCTCGCCTGCACTTGGAAGAGCGGGGGTATCTGCTGAAATTCTAGCAACCCCCGGCGGATTGATGCGAGCAGCCCGCGACTCATCCGATTCAGAAGCTAGTGACTCTGCCGCGGGCGCAGGCGGGCCCAGCCCAAGTGGCTGCGGCACTCCTGGGTGCCCCGTGAGCAACGTGGCTGGCCCACCACCATGGAGACTGAGGGTGAGGTGCAGCGTCGCCTCACGATGGATGCGGCAATCCGTTAGAGCGCATTCGTCCGCCAGCTGGCGTCCTGCAAATAGTAGACGCTGTGAGTCCGCGGGGAGGTTTTCTTTATCCTGTATCTTCATCTTAACAATGTAGATCATGTCCCCTGCTGCCACGTCAGTCATCGATCGTAATGATCTTGCCCGTGAGCGTCTTCACTAAGATCTGCATGGTAGCGGAAGCCTTTCCACTGCTGGATGCGTTCGCCTCTGGCGCGGTGTCCATGGAGGTTTTAGCAGCGATGTCGATGCGGTGGTCGGTCGTGCCGTTGACGTTGGCTTCGTCGGTGTTGGCGCCCGCGGTGTTCGCGCTGTCCTCGGCGTCGGCTTTGAGGATGTCGGCGTCGGCGTTGAATTTGTTAGATGTGAATGGCGGGGGGGGCGGGGGCAACTCGGAGTCGGGCCAGAAGGGAGCGAAGGTTGAGCGAGGGCCTCCAGACCAATTCAAAGGATGCTCTTCGAGCCGCCACCCCTGGCGGCCCCAGCTCGCAGCCGGTTGTTGAGGCCCCCGCCACGGGGGCGCATGAGGGGGCTCTATCCACTGATCTAATGTACCTCGCACTCTCGCGGCACGTCGGTTGAATGGCACGCGTGGGCGAGGAAGCCACGGCGGGCCGCGGGGCCCTGCGTTGCTGTAGACCCACAGCGTAGCACGGCCTGTCGCGGTTGCGCTCGCCGAAATGATGCGCTGCGCGATGGCCGCGGGGCTGCTCGCACAAAAGGGGTCGCGCCGTCGCCAAGGGGCGGCGGATGGGGAGTCGGAGAAAGTAGGTAGTCAGCGCGAGCCAACTGTCGCCGCAGCCGGTTGCCAAGCGAGGGCGGCTTCACCGTGGAAAGGGTAGCGCCGAGAAGTGGGCATGGGAAGAAGCAGATGGTTGCCCGCGGCGTCTGCCGTCGGTCTAGCGGAGCAAAACGGGCCCAAACGCGGGAGATGGACGACGCAACGATTGGCCACCGTTCGGCCAGTCCCATCGCGAGGCCTGCGCCCCCCGTGGTAGTGGCCGACTGGGGGGGGTCTCCTGATTTTCCGGGCTGGTCGACTTGTCGAGCTGCGACGCGCATGCGAGCGATGGCCGCGGTTCCCGTGCTGGCACTGCTCCGCGCGGGATGGTTACGCCCATGGTTTTGGCCTCGCCTGTGGCCTGAATCGCGGCGTCATCTACCTCTTCTTCCCCCAGGTGGGCCACGTCTTCGTCTGCTGATCAGCGGTAGGTGGCTTATGTCGTCGATGTCGTTGGCTGGTGCTGGCGCGCCGGCATCGGCGTTCATCCTGCGGGTTGGCGCCAGCGCCTGCTGCGGGGCGTTGGCAGCGGTTGCCAGCCATGGGCGCGCTTCCACGATCAAGCGTTCAGACGAGAACTGGCCAGACTCCGCCACGAGTTGGTCAGGCCTGCCGACGGCGGCGGCGACGCGCAGCAACTCCCGCACATGCGGAGCGGGCGCTGCGGGCGCCGGGCGCACGGGCTCAGCGGGATCGTCGCCACGCGTCAGTGCAACGCAGCGCGGCGCTCCAGACTCACCCAGGGCAACGCGGACCCTGGTTGGGTCCGCGCTACCGTGCATCCGTCAGTAGGTTACCATGGCAGCCCCTTCTCTGGGCCGCGTCATGACTGGTTGCGACGTCGGCAGATGTTGTTTTGCACGATGAGGTAGGGCTCGCCGGGGCCGATGGGAGCCCTTCGCTTCCTCCTTGCACTTGACCTCCTCATCGTCTGTGCCAAGTGCTCGCGCGCCAGCGGCGGCGGGGGCCCCCTCCCAGGCGCGCCGATGGACCTCAACTGTGGCGCGGCGGTTTTCGGCGAGATCTCCTCTGCGGCAGCGATGCCGCCATCTCTTTTGGCCCACGGCGGTGGCGTCTCTATCTCGATAGAAATGAATTCGTCGGCAGGCTGCCCAGGCGGCATTGACCCTGGAGCCCACGCGCGCGGCGCAGGGCGGTCGCGCACGCCGCTGCCTGGTTGCCCCGCCAACACTGCACCCGCCGCTCTCGGAGCTCTGGCCGGGGTAGATGGATGGCATCGACGATGGTCCTGTGCAACTGGCTGCGAGACCGTCGCCCCGTGCACATCGGAGCCCCAGGCGGCCCAGTTGATCGGCGATCGGGCTGCCTGGCCATACGTCTGCGAGGGCAGGGGCTCGACAGGTGGCAAACAACAAAAAAAAGGTCCCCCTCGATCGCGTCGACCGCCTCCGCGTTCAGACGGGCCTGAGCGAGCCCGGCTGCACGTTGGGCGCGCTGGTACTCCTCCTGCGATGACTCGACACGTTTCTCCTGCATCTCTCGCGTGCCCCTCCACCCCGCCTCCTCACGCTGGTAAATCTGCATATCATGCTGGCATGCGCCTAGCTGCTCAGCCAGTGCGCGGAGGAGGTATAGCTCGTGATGTTGGGATTGCTCAGCATTTCTTCTCCTGACGAGGCGCTCGATGCCTGCGACTCTTGGTTGGAGCTCCTCACGGACACTGCTCAGATCGTCGCTTCCATGTGCATTCCCTAGGCATGTAGTATTTCCTGGGCATGCAGCACATCATGGGCGTCTTGGCGCCTGTCCTCTGCGTCCACCCACTTGTGCTACAGTACGACGTGGTCGTTGTTTTCCTAGGTCCGCGCCGCGCCTCCTTGCTCATGTTGAAGTACGTCTGCCTCTCGTTGGCCAGCCATCCGACTTCTCGTAGCGGCTGTTGCGCCGTGGCCCGGTCGACGCGGCTGCCGAAGTCAAATATTTCTGCGCGTTCCTGAGCTCGCTCTGTAGTTGATGGATCGCAGCGCAGTCACGATGTTCAGTTGTTCAAGTGTTCCTGTTGCGGTAGCTTTCACGGCCTCGAACACCTCCTCCGTCCTGACGAGGGCTGGGATGTGCCTAGTTGATAGAAGCTCACGACATGATGCCAGCTTGCCGTTCGCGTTTCTCGAGACGTCGACCACGTGCTTCAGCTCGTAGTGGCGTGTTTGAGCCGCTTCCCTGCGTTGCCCTTCACGGTGTTCCTGTGCGATTCCTTCTGCTGCTCGTAGATTTGTTCGAGGGCGTGGATCTCGGCGTTGGCGTCGCACTTGTTCTTGGTGCCGCGGGCCGCTCGTTGGCTGTCCTGTCTCGGGGCATTGAGTAGCATGCCGACGTCTTGCCCCTCCGCCACCTCCCACGCCCTCACTCGCTTTCTGGGAACTGGCGTAGACGCCCCTCTCTGTAACAAGTCCATGCGTAGTCCTTCGGCTTCGCCATCAGCGACGCCTGCGTCGGTGCAGATGTCACCCCTGACAATGCAGACGTCGCGCTGCAAGTTGTCGTGCTCGCCGAGTTTGCATTCCAGCTCGATCCTGTATTTCTCGATGTGACTGTTGTGGGCCTTGGCGTGGTCGCAGTAGTCTTCCATGGTCCACTTAGCGTCGACCATTTCCCTGGCTGGTTGGGCTGGGGGCGTTCCGTTGAGGACCATGGCGCTGGCAATGGCGATCTGGGCGACTGCATCTGCAATAGGTAGTCCTGAAGCATTATTTTTGGTAATGGCTGCTGCTGGTCGCCTCTGCTCGGTGAGCTTGATATTTTTTCCAGTCGCCTTTGAGCTCGGGGCCATTGGGCGGCAGCTCCCAATCGGGCCTTCGGATTGCGCTTACCTCCCTCGTCGGCATGACATTGGTGATCACGTTGGCGATGTGGTGTTTGTGGTCCTGGGTGTTTGTAGTCCTCGGGCGCGTTGTCTTGTTCGGATTGTGCGTTGGCCTTCCCCTTGTCTTCGTTGTTGTTGTGAATGCCCATCTGGTTGCGGTTGTCATGCTCGTGAACGTCGACCTAATGCTTACCGTTTGTGCATTTGCCGCTGTGGCCCTCGTTCCAAAACGTGTCCGGGTGGTAGCTGGCCCACAGCTCCGTCCAATGATTGTCCCTCCAGCTCTAGGCGCCTGCCCCATTCGTCAGCAGGGTAGATCGCAGTGTCGGCCCTCTGCTTGGAGTGCGGCTCGATGTCGATCCCCAGGGTGGCGGCGCAGTTTCCGATCCACTCGCAGGCGTTCCCCATGAGGCGGCCATTGCGGGAGCTTGAGGTGGATGTCGTGGTGGCTGTTGGGCGCTGAGGTGTGTTTCGAAAGACCCCGTGCAGCTGCAGCACTGAGTAGCGTTCGTGGTGCTGCTCGTTGTTGGCAGTCGCGTCTGTGCCACGAGGGTTCTGTGGTGGATGTTGCAGTGGAAGTGGCAGTGGTCCTCACACCTCAGAAAATGGGATGCGTAAGTAGGTGATATGGTTTGGGGCAAGCGGGCGCCCTCTTGCGGGCGCTGCACCGTGATGGCTGCCGCCCAAAAGCCATTCGGGCATGCGGATTCCTCCTCCTCCTCCTCCTCCTCCTCCTCCTCCTCCTCCTCCTCCTCCTCCTCCTCCTCCCCCTCCCCCTCCCCCTCCCCCTCCCCCTTCCCTATCATACCTGTGGTAGCGGTGGTGGAAAATCGGCACATCACCTGAGCCCCTTTCCGAAGACACAAGCGGCCTCCCAGGAGGTTGGCGGGGCTTCGAAGAAGCCCTGCCGCTTTCCGAGAAAGCCTGCCCCTTTCCAGTTCCCCTCCCGGGCGCGCCGCCGATCCTCGGGGTAGAACTGCGACAGGCTCCAGTCCTTGTGGAGGAACAGCAACCCAGACCTCCAACGCATTGAGAATTTCATGGGCCGTTGTTGTTGTTGCTGCTGCTGCTGCTGCTGTTGTTGTTGTTGTTGTTGTTGTTGTTGGTGTTGTTGGTGGTGTTGTTTTTGTTTTCAGCCTATGGGGGCCCCGCTGGGCCCCGAGACCGCCAAAAAACGCTCGGGCTGCTCCGATCTCCGACGATACGACTTGTTCCATCTGAGCTGTTTTCCTCGATGTAGGCCTCCACGGGCCGCTCTCGGGCCACAATAGTACTACTCTGAAGGACAACAAGAGGCACAAGCACTAAGCATCGTTCAACCGATCCCAATCCCCGCTGGCGTGGCCTTGGCCCCACTGGCCACCTTGCCCACGTAGATGGGGACGTATGCCTGCACCTTCGAGTGTCGCGAGGCTTATCCCCACCTATAGGAGGGTGGACTGGTGGGGCTGAAATACCGCGGCCCAGTGGGGACGAGAATGAGTTAGACAATGCTGAAGCAAGCCTAGACCTCCGAGGATATGATACCCAACCATCGTGCGGTGATGGGTCCTTATGTTGAATCAGCTTCGCCCCGCGTCTCCTTCATTCCTTCCTTTCTCCTCCCCCTCCTCCCTCCTCGTCGTCATCGTCACCCGCATCACCATCATCATTGTCATCACCATCACCGCTAATCGGCATCAGCATCAGCACGATTCACCATCATCAGTCCCATTTCGGAACGCACCACAGGTTTCGTAACCCCATTGGGAGCTCCAACTAAGGCCCAAATGCCAGTGTTCGCACGAGCTCCCGCCTCTCATCTCGGCACACGCCTCACACGATTCGTGGCCCCACCGGGAGCCCCAAATAAAGCCTAAATGCCTGGGTTCGCATGAGGTTCCGCCTCTCGTTTCAGCACACCCCTCACACGTTTCGTCGCCCAATGGGGAACATCACCGAAGGCCCAAATGTCAGAGTTCGCATGAGTTCCCGCATCTCATTTCGGCAAGCCCCTCACACGCTTCGTAGCCCCATAGGGAGCTCCAACTGAAGCCCAAAATACCAGGGTTCGCACGAACTTCCGCCTCTCATTTCGGCACACTCCTCATACATTCCGTGGCCCCATATGGGAGCTGCAACTGAGTCTCACATGCCAGAGTTCGCACGAACTACCGCCTCTCATTTCGGCACACCCCGCGCACGCTGCGTGGCCCCATAGGCAGCCCCACCAGAGGACCACATGTCAGGGTTCGAACGAGTTCCGCCGCGAAGTTCGGGACATCCCTCACACGCTCCGTGGCCTCGTCGGAAGCTCCACCGAGACCCCCCAAATGCCAGGGTTCGCATGAGTTCCCACATCTCATGTCGGCACACCCCTCACACGTTTCGTGGCCCCATGGGGAGCGCTACCGAAAGTCCAAATTCCAGGCTTCGCATGAGCTTCTGCCTATCATTTCAGCACGCCCCTCAAACCTCGCGTGGCCCCATGGGAAGCCCCACAGAAGGGACAAATGCAATGGTCCGCGCGAGCTCCCGCCTCTTTTTTCGGTACACCCCTCGCACGCTTCGTGGCCATATACAGGGGGCTACACCAAAGGGCCAAATGACCGGGGTCGCATGGCGGCCCCGCCTCTATTTATGGATCCCAGACGCCAAACTGCCACCGGGGAGGAGATCTGGACCTCTGGGGCCGCGGACGGAGAATTCACGGAGGTCGCGGGCTGTCTGGGAAGCGGCATGAGCATCCAGACTGCCAGAGGGCCGCGCGGATGTCTTGGATCGGCGGTGGGCATCCCTGGGAAGCGCCTCTGGCACCGCAGAGAGCGCGCTGCGCGCGCCAGGGGAGGTGGGGTCCCGCGCCGACCCGGGCAATCCGCGCGGACCTACGGGAGCACATGCAAGGGCCTTGGAAGGCCATGTCGACACTTTGCGGGCGGGGCGCGGCCAGCGAAGGCGGCCAAGGATGAGCCGAAGGGGAAGAATGCAAGGGCAACCCTGGAAAGTTACTCATCTTTACTCTGCGGGTTGACTGTATGCTGCGTTTTCTCTTCGGGCTCCGCGGCGGGTGACAGCGCCAGGTCGGGTGCCACCTATCGCGCGTTGCCAGAAGTGTCCCTGGCCCAAGGTGCCCCCAGGATTCGGGGACCTACTGACCCGGGTCAATCCAGACCACGGTCAGTCAGGATGCGCAGGATTCAGCAAGATCCTGTAGAATCCTGCAGGATCCTGCACCCAAGCCCGGGTCAATGCACCCCTGGCCCTCCGGCGCTCTGACTGACCCCCGTCTGCATTGACCCCCGTCTCTTGAGCCTCAAAGGATATGCAGGGAGGCCCCCCGGCCTCCAGAGCGCCCCTCACCAGGCCCAGTGCCCCAGAGGGGGCTCCAAAATGTGGAGCGAAAGGCTGGGGGCACCTGGAGCCACGAACACCTCCCCTGCGATCCGACGTTGCGAAACAACTGCAGCATCGCCAGAAATCACGTCTGGAGCCCCAGACCCCATGTTTCTGCTGCATTATTCGAGCCAGACCGTTCTGTGATGGTCCTGGGGCCCGAAGCGCTGCAAAAAAACGCCCGCGGCGCCAAGAAGTTGCAGCGCCAGGGCCTCAGGGCTTCCCGCCTCCGAACCTCCCAGTACGACTCTGCTGGGGCCAGGCGCCGGAAGATGGCCCCGTCGTGGTGCTCCGAGACGCGGTCGAAGGACGCGCGCTGCGGGGGCCCTCTCCGCTGGCAGCGGAGCGGCACGATGACGCACTTCGCCACCCGCGGCTCGGCGCGCTCCTCCGCAGGCAGCGCGGCCAGCCCGCGGTAGATCGCCAGCAGGGCCCGCCACGTGCCTCGGGGCTCCTCCTCCTCCTCCTCCTCCTCCTCCTCCTCCTCCTCCTCCTCCTCCTCCTCCTCCTCCTCCTGAATGGCCTTAGGGCACGATGTAGGACTGCCAGGGCGCAACAGCTACGTTGACTCGCGGTGTCGAAGTTCCAGGAATGGTGTGCTGGCCCGATTCTGGATCGCCAAACAATAACGTAGATTCGCTGCTTTGAAGTCCCAAAGATGATGTTCTGGCACGGTTCAGGTTTTTGAAACGGGTGTCTTCCAACGGGGCACTCCCCTCAGTGAAAATGAACCCTTGTAGGGGTCTATGAGGTGGGAACTTGGAGGGAAGGTTTATAGCAACATCGTTGATGAATCTTGGGTCTGCACTGGTCCTCCTCCTCCTCCTCCTCCTCCTCCTCCTCCTCCTCCTCCTCCTCCCCCTTTCTTCTTCCTCCTCCTCCTCCTCCTCCTCCTCCTCCTCCTCTTCCTCCTCTTCCTCCTCCTCCTCCTCCTCCCCCTTCCTCGTCATCCCCCCCTTCCCATTCCGCACTCTCAAAATCATCCACCACCTCACATCGTCACGAAAATTCGGTTACCGCGGACCCAGCGCGCGCGCGCAGATCGGTCGGGCAGCTCCAGGTCACTGAGCGGCAAACGAAGCACGGCACGATAAAGGAAAAGGAAGATGCTGGGCGGCCGCGAGGGTGGAGGACAGGGAAGGGAGGCCACCTCAGACCGCATGAGCACGGAGGCGACGGACAACTGTAGCCATTTCCGGCCTCTGGGGGCCCGCGCTGTGACCTGGGACCGACAAAAACGTCTCAGGATGAAAAGCTGGTCCCCAGGAATGGGTCGAGACCAGTGGGGCTCGAGGGTCGACGTCGTAGGAAAACCGCAACGTCGGGGGTCTGGGAAAACGGGTGCCCTGGTAGACCGGGACACTGGCGCGACGCGCGCAGACTACAACCGTAGTTCGAGACAGTCCCCATTCTTCGTTTTCTCCAGATTCCCCAAAACAGTGTTTGCATTTAGGTTTTCCTACTTCGATTACTAATGGATTGGATGGAACAGCCGAATGTTTGCCACGTTGCCTCCCGTTAACGTCCCGTCGCCGCCCACCGCGCTTGAGGGGTTCGCCGAAATTTCGCCAATTTGCCGCCCGTTGCCGCCTCGTTGCCGCCACGTTGCCGCAACGTTGCCGCCTCGTTGCCACATAGCTTGCCCACCTGGAATGCAACAACTTACCGTTCGGGGCCCGCACTGGTAAACGTGGAAATTCCTCAGAGCCCTAGACAGCCGCGCCCTTGTCTGAGGGGGCCCTGCAGTGCCATCAAGGATGTCCTGCCCGGACGCGGGCCCCACGTGCTCCCCGAGGTGGACGCGGATGCCGCCGGCCCCAGCCTCGGCGGCAGCGCCGGACCGGAGGAGGCGGCCATACTCGTCGGCCGCAGAGGTGAGCGTCTCGAGGGCGTCGTAGTGCTCCCCGGCGCCCTTTCGATCGGAGCGGAGGGGTGGCGGCACCACCACCACCACCACCGACGCGGGGAGCCGGGGAGTGTCCTCCTGGTGATCCTCCTCCTCCCCCTCCTTCCCATCGCGTCCGTTTCTTGTGTCTTCGTCTTCTTACTATTAGTTTTATTGCGATGATCATTATTATTAATATTGCGTGTTCTTATTATTTGTAGTCGTAGTATTCTCTGTATTGTGCTAATGCTTATTAGTTGCATTGCTGTTGCTGCTGCTTAGTACTACTTCTATCCTTAGCAGTAGGAATGGCATTCGTTTTCTTATGACTCGCATTGTTGCTCGCATTATTAATCGCATTCTTGATATCACTCGTAGTATGACGATTCTTCTCAGTCGTATGACTACTAGTGTTAGTATAAGAATTACTATTATTACTAATGCTGCTCATTTTCTTACGAGTATACTCATTATGTGTCCTCCTCCTTCTCCTCTTCCTCTTCCTCCTCCTCCTCCTCTTCTTGTTCCTTCTCCTCCTCCTCCTCCTGCTCCTCGTCCTCCTCCTCCTCCGCATCCTCCTCCTCCTGCACCTCCTCCTTATCCTCCTGCTCCTCCTCCCCCTCCTCCTGCTCCTCGTCCTCCTTCTCCTCCTCGTGTTAGTATTAGTAGGATGATTCGTAGGAGCATGCTGTTCTCATAAGCATTGTTATTATTAGTATTGTTCTACCATTAGTAGTAGCATTGATATTCGTCCTTTCATCATTATGATTACTCGTAGTACTGTGATTTCTTCTCTCGGTAATAGCATCAGTCCTATTATTAAATATGGCGCAGCAGACTTGATATTATAATCTTCGTATTACCATCATCCGTATTAATATTCTTATTACCCTGACACGCATTAGTATGATGTTTCCTCTTCGTACGGCTGTTAATGCATTACTGTAGGTATTACTCGTATGCCGTTAATGAACAGGTGCCTCATGATTCGCAGTGGTTTCAGTCTTCTTATTCGTTGCCATAACATGACTCATATGCCTTATTACTAGTGCTATGGTTAGTCCGACGACCCTCCTTATTAATTATCATAGTAATAACATCGTATTGATGTCATTGTTCGTCACATGTGTTATTCCTCCTCATTATCCTCCTTTTCCTCCTCCTCCTCCGCCTGCTGCTCCTCCTTCTCATCCTCCTCCGCCTCCTCCTCCTCCGCCTCCGCCTGCGCCTCCGCCTCCTCCTCCTCCTCCTCCTCCTCCTCCTCCTCCTCCTCCTCCCTCCTCCCTCCTCCCTCCTCCCCTCCCTCCTCCTCCCTCCTCCCTCCTCCCTCCTCCCTACCGCCTCCACCTCCCTCCTCCCTCCTCCCTCCTCCTTCCTCCCTTCTCCCTGCTCCTCCTCCTCCCTCCTCCCTCCTCCCTTCTCCCTCCTCCCTCCCTGCTCCCTCCTCCCTCCTCCCTCCTCCTACCTCCTCATCCTCCTCGTCTTCCCCATCCTCCCCATCCTCATCATCCTCATTCTCCTCATCCCCCTCATCCTCCTCATCATCCTCATCCTCCTCCGCATCATTCTCATCCTCCTCATCCAACTCATCCTCCTCGTCCTCCTCATCTTCCTCCTCATCCTCCTCCTCATCCTCCTTATCCTCCTCATCCTCCTCATTCTCCTCCTCCTCCTCCTCCTTCTCCTCCTCCTCCATCTTTGTATGAACAACTTCTCACTGTCACACCCCGAAGCAAGTTTTTAGGGCGGGCCGGGTGTATCGCATGAGTACCCCCCACCATATGACCCTGAAGCTTCAAAAATTGGCCACGGTTTCACAGATGGAGGGCGGGCCGTTTTCAACATGTGGCTCCCGCCTTATCGTTTCGCACGTTCGTTTCCAACATTTGCAAGACTTTCACGGATTGAGGGCGGGTGGTTTTCAACATGTGGCTCTCGCCCCAGCGCCGCGCAAATTCGGTTTAAACATTTGCAAGAGCTTCACGGATTGAGGGCGGTTCCTTTTCAAAATGCGGCTCTCGCCATAGCGCCGCGCACATGCGCTTTAACATTGTGCAAGAGCTTCACGGATTGAGGGCGGGTGGTTTTCAACATGTGGCTCTCGCCTTAGCGCTGCGCAGATGCCCTTTAAAAATTCGCAAAAGCTTCACGGATTGAGGGCGGGTCGTTTTCAAAATGTGGCTCTCGCCGCAGCGCAGCGCACATTCGTTTAAAAAAGCAAGAGCTTCACGGATTGAGGGCGGTTCCTTTCAACATGTGGCTCTCGCCTTAGCGCTGCGCACGTACGTTTTAACAGTTGCAAGAGTTTCGCGGGTTCCAATGGTCAGCGTGGTGCTGTTGGAAGGAGTCAGGACTATAAGGGCGCGACAGTTACGTTGATTCACTGTGTTGGGGTCTCAGCGTGTTCTGGCATGATTCAAGATCGCCAAGACGCAACAGTCAGGTTGATCCGTGGCGTTGGAATCCCAGGAACATCGTTTTGGCATGCCTCAGGGTCTTCAAACGGTTGTCTTCCAACGAGGCAGCTCCCTCAGTGGAACTGAATCGTTGTAGAGGCCTATGAAGAGGGAGCTTGGAGGGAGGGTTGATTTCAACATCGTTGATGACTCTTGGGTTTCCACTGGTCCTCCTCCTCCTCCTCCTCCTCCCCCTCCTCCTCCTCCTCCTCCTCCTCCTCCTCCTCCTCCTCCTCCTCCTCCTCCTCCTCCTCCTCCTCCTCCTCCCCCTCCCCCTCCCCCTCCCCCTCCCCCTCCCCCTCCCTCTCCTCCTCCTGTGCACCCCCCCCTCTCCTGGCGGCGAACCCAAGGGAGAAGTGAGAGAGGGCGGGGTTTCTCGAAGGCGGCGGGGCTCCCCAGGAACCCTCGCACCTCCTGAAGAGCCGTCTCTGTCTTCGGAAAGCGCTTAGAGAACTTCTCGGAAGACCGAGGCCTTCCGAGCCTTCTGAGAAGGCCAGCTCACTCTCACTTCCCCCCCTGGACTCGCCGCCGACTCTCGCTCGAGACACATCCCCCGTCCACAACTCGGAGAAGTATCGTGGCCCTCCTCGCGTGGAATGATCCCCTCGGTGGTGGCGGTGGTGTCCCGGACATCCGATGTTTTGATTTTTCAATACAGCGTCCCCTGAATCCCGACCGACCCTTTCCCCAGGGCGGGCTTGTCATCCCGAGCCGTGTTTTGACGGTCCCAGGGCCGAGCGAGAGCCCCCAGGGGCCGAACGTAGCAAGAAACTGTCCATCCTGTTTCTTTCACGCTGCGAAGGGGTCCAAGCCGCGGCCCCAGAGCTCCCGACTCGCTCCGTGGGCGTACTTTGTCGTCCTGGATCCGTTTCTGATGGCCCAGGGCCCAATAACGGACCCCGGAAACCGAAATCGAGGAAAAACACCAGGATGATAAATTACCTCAGCAAAACATCCCAAGTGAAGCAAGGGTGAAGAGGCGGGTCGAGGAGTATGAGGTCGGCCACTGAAAACGTGCACGGCCAAGTGCACCTTAGCGTATCTCCGTGAAGACGAGATCGCGAGGGGTGCGGGTAAAAGGATCTCTGGTAACACAATGTTTTAAATGTTACGCTGGCAAGTTCTGCTAGTATCTGACTGGGTCACGGCACAGCTGGGACAAGGGGGAGTCGTGTGACCGACCGTCCAGTAAATCCTGCCGCTATGCAAATATGTCATGGAGTGGGAAAATCTTATGTACGAAATGGCGGGTGTCTTTTAACCTTGAGCCCGAATGGTCGCGGATGACACAATGGACCAAAGGGCGGAACGAAAAACCAAACATTTGACACATCAGCCCCGCGCACGAACTCACAGGATGGAACGATGATTTCGGCGGGAAATGTCTGCTACTGTCTGCGGGGGTCATGACACAGCTTTGACAGGGGGAGGTCGTGAAACAGACCGTCCAGACATCTCAAATCCCGACGGCCGAAGGTTTTCAGACAGGGCGGCCGAGAGCGACAGCAGGACACTGGGAGAGAAAAACATACACGGCTTAGCCCTACCCTCCCACGCGTCCTCTCGCATTATACGAGCATCGAGCGTGCGCTCAGTTCGACCTGTTTCTTGTCGGTTCGGCTGCACCCATTGCGCTTCCCAAAACATGCACCAGACAGGCGCTCGGAGTCCTCATTCATCATGTTGCCACACACGAGACAAGTCCTTCTCCACACGGGTGCTCCCCATTGGAAGAAATCAGCGAGGCGCCATTCAGCACTCACCCAGCGACAATTAGCAAGGACTTCGGGGATGAACCACAGCCTCGAGACGCGAGGGGTATCGAGCACCCATGGAACCTTTCGAAGATCAAGATGTTTGAGGATACGCAACACGCTCACGTTCGTCTCGTGACATGTACTAAGAACTCGCTGTCCCGAACCAAATCAGCCGTCGGGTCGGTTCCCCAGGGCTCGGTTCACGAACGCATCTGGAAAGCCCGACCCCTGGCAACTGGAAGAGAAGCACATGGAATTGCGATCACGACGGCAAAAAAATCAGCCGCTGCAGACATCTAAGTACGAGCCGTCGGAGCACCTGCCCCTTGGTCAGGCAACGGCGGTCGCCGCGGACGGCGCCCCAAGCTCGCGCCGACAAACCAGCAAGCACAACCGAATTCGAGATTTCGCCGCAGCCCGAGAACAAGTCAGCCACGCACGGGTGACCGGAGATCAATTTGCGACAGGCGGTGCCGGAGCCAGTTCGGGCGACCAAAGGCACTTCGCGACATGGCCCTGACAGGTCAGCACGCGCGCCTGCACGGCTGGGGGGGGGCCGTTCAAGACGCTGCCGAGACGGACAGACTTGTCGCAATTACCTCACGAAGCTCTTCCAGCTCCTCCACTTGCCTCGCTTCTGCCCCCAACCACCACCACCGCCACCCCGCCCTGGCTGAGACGCGGGCGAGGATGGTCGATCGACGTAGCTGGATGCCGCGTCTGGCGAGGCATATTGGTCGGCACTCCTGGGCGCTCGGCGACGGTTTGAACTCAGACAAGGGAAAGTCAAATAGCTGGACCTCCACATGCGGCGCCCGCCCAGGGCTTTCAGCGCGGGCCACAAAAGTCACCCACCCACTTCTGTAAGTAGTGTACGTCGATGGAGATCGAGACGTCGGTCTCGCCCCGCTCGGCCCATCGCCGATGGGCGCAACAAGCAACAAGGAGGGCCCGCGAACGCGTCGGCGGGGACGCCGGAGCGATAAGGTTCTCCGACACGAGGCCCAGCAGCCCCGACGGCCCGAGGTAACAGCTCACCCCGATAAGCACCGCCAGCCCCATCGCCAAAACGTAGCGCCTCGCGAACTCCACCGAGATGGCACACCACACTGAGAGCGGCGCAGGCTTGCGGGCACATCCAAGAGCGAGCCGTCTCGAGCCTTCGAGGCGCATCCAACTCCTCGAAATCTCGTGCATTCCCGCGCGGGAAAAAACGCGCGCCCGCGCCGGAAAACCCGCGCGCCCGCGCCGCGAGCGCGGACTCCGCCGGCCTGCTAGAAGCAGTCGCCGTTGCCGAGCCGCCCCCCGCCCCGACGGGCGGGCCGCCCCACCGTCGTCCGAAGCGGTGCCATCGCTGTTCGCGACGGCGGCCTCGGCGGCGGCAGCGACCGCGACTGCCCCAGCAGCCCATCCTCGAGCCGTCTGCTGGCTCGCAAGCTTCTCAGGCGCGCGCGGGGGCGGCCGCCCCCGACTTGCCGCGCGCCCCAGACGGGGCTCGGCATCGGGGGCGGTCAGGGTTCGAGCCCGGGCCGGAGGCGCCCGAGCCACGGGCGGACACGACGTCGCCGATGGCGTCGCCAACGCGCCCGCCGAACGCGACTTCTGACGGGAAAGCGGCTGCCCATCGAGAAGCGTCAGCGCGCGGGTCCTCTTCATAACATTCGTGGAATATGGAATCGCTGCGCAGGGGCTCGGCCGCCATGGCCAGGCCTTTTCGAGCCGCAGGCGCGACGGAATCAGGAGAGTCCGCCCGCGCGTTCAGCGCCGCCAGGCTCGCGAGGCCCCTCTTGCCGCCATCGTAGAGATCATAGGCGCAAGGCCTCGCATCGCCGTCGTCGAGTTCCAAAGGACACTAGCGAATTCCGAAGCGAACGCCACGAACTAGGGCGCACCCAGCGACGCGACGCATTGCAACTAGAAGACCGAAGCTCCTACCGCGACATTTTTTCATCTGCCAAACCTTCTTATCATATCTCCCACGCACGCTCTCGCGACAGCTTCCACCAAGACGCGGGCCTCGCCCCCCGAGATACCCCGCTTGACGCGCAGATTCAAACGCCACCAAGCACGATGAAGAAGAGCCCCAAAAGACCTCAAAGAAGCCCCCACGTCGACCCCAGAGGCCCGCCCCCCGAACATCCCGAGGGCCACGGCGCCTGCCGCCATCAACCACCGGGTTACTTCACGATGGACAGCGGACGAAGCCAGTCGCGGAAAAGGCACTCGAAGGAGCGGGCGCCCCTCCAAGCCGACGGAAGCGCGATCGTTCCGGGATCCGCTCATTCTGTTCGGCCTCACACACACACACACACACCAGTCTGACGAAGCAATCCCCCAGACGCGCGGGCTGGAAAACCACGGCTGGCCCCACTCGGAGCGAAGTAGCGGCGCCAGCCCAAGGAAGCACTCCAGCTCACAGCGCACGGGGCCCCAGACCTCGGACCTCGCCCAGCGCATCTCGCGGACGAACGCGCAGCCGACGCGCCGGGTGGCCAGGCTCTCGCGGCGCGGGAGGCCGAGGACGGCGCCAACCTCAAGCACATGGCCAGCCAGTCGACGAAGCGACAGGGCCCGCCGCAAGCCAAAGCGCGCCCTCGGCGACGGCAGTCATCAGCCTCGCGCCGCGCGCCCAGGGCCTCGGCCGCCCCGCCCTCGACGCCAACGCCGCGCCTCGCGAGCGCGCACTTGTCCAAGGCAGCCGCGGCATCGGAGACGGAGCTCAAGAAGGCTGGGCGGGGCGAGGCGGGCGCTGTCCACTCGCGCGCAGTGCCGCGGCCTCGATCGGCAGCCGCATGACTCGACGCACCTGGTGGGGTCTCCCCCATCATGTCAAGATTCGCTACTTGCGCCAGAAACAAACTACCAAGCCCATCCCGCTGGCAAAAAAAGAACACATGACCATACCACATTCTCGACGCCGACTACGAGGCCGCCCACGGACCCCCCCACGATGCCAAACTCCTTCGCTCGGCCACCCGGGTAGCAGAAGTTGCCGGACAGGTCACTCTTGAAGAGCACGCGGCGGAAGCAATCCTCGAAGTCTGCCCTGCCGAGCCGCGCGAGGCGGATCGGCACCGCTGAGTCGGACTCGCACTCGACGCGGCCAAAGCCCTCGGCGGCGAGCAGCTCGACCCCTGGGGAGATAAGAGCACGCCGGTGCGATCGGCGACAATCCAAAACCACTCACATAGACTGACGCCCCTGCTTCCACGCGAAGAAGACGCGACAAACTCCTCGGGGCCCCGCGCGATGCCGACGAGCCCTCGACCATTCAAGTCCGCGATGAAGGTGGAGTAGCGTCGGCGGCTGACGGCGAGAAGCGGGTCGGTTTCATTCTTGATGTCGCCATGTGTCTCGATGGAGCCACGCCTCCTCCTCCTCGGCCCTGATCATCTGCTCCTCCGCCCCCACCAGGCATGCGGCATGAGAGAGCGCGGCCCTGGACGAGGCCGGCGACGGCGGGCGCGGCCGGGACGTCGTTGGAAAGAGACGTCTGTCCACCTGGGCCGCCTCAGCACCATGGACGCCGCGGCCTCGAAGCAGCCCGCTGAAAGCCCCCCTTCCGGCAAAGGTCCGGGGGCGGGCCACCGCAGAGCAGAACCTCGCGGGCAATCCCGCGGCGAATCTCCCGCTGCAGCAGCGCGCCACCACTGCCGCCGGCGCACTTTTTCCGCGGGCGGGCTGCGACAGCCCCCCCTTGATTTTCGCGCCGCCAGGCCTGGGTTCCAGGCCCCCCCTGCAAGAGGCACGGATTTTTTGGCCCCGAGAGCATAGAGTTGGGCGCGCGGGCCACGCGGCTCGACCGGTAGGAGCTGCCCCAGGCGGTCCGCGATGCCGCGATCCCCGAAGTATGCCACGACGGAACTGACGGGCACCGAAAACCCCATCGCCACGGCCGACCCAGGCTCGATCACCACCCATCGGTGGTCGGTCACCTTGGGCGGCGGCCCGACGGGGGGCGGCAGCGGCAGAGGCGCGGGCAGCGCCCTGCGGCCGCCGGCCGCCCTGGCGGGGCAAGGAACGGCCATGCCGGCCTGGGGGCGGAGCGTACCGTACCAGCGGGTCCTTCTCCCATCGACTCCTTGCCTTGGACTCGCCCACGGGAAGAACGATGCACCCGACCGTCCTCAGACACCATGTGCGTGGCGTGGGGGGGCACGTCCCTGACGGGGTCCTCGCCACGGAGGTCCGCGATCTCGGACTTGGCCTCGGCGATGAAGCTCCTCAACTCGGCATCCGTCGGCCTTTTCGGGACTGCACCAGCTGGGCGCCGTCGTCTGGAACAGACCTGGGAGCCTGGCCCCCCTGCATCATGACGACCTGGTCCCAGTCCGCCTCCTCCTCCTCCTCCTCCTCCTCCTCCTCCTCCTCCGCCTCCTCCTCCGCCTCCTCCTCCTCCACATACAAATGCCTTCCGACAATGCACACAACACAGGAAACCTCTTGGCAGGGCCAGACCAGAACGCTTTCGTGGCAGTAGCCCGCATCAGCGAAACAACTGACGAGCAGCTGTGTTCCCAGCGGCCACCGTTGAGCCATTGTATTAGACGCGAGGCGGCGAGGCCCGATATCCACGATTGCACAGTACCAGTAACACCAGGTCTCGAAGACAGCGAACGCCAACAGAGCACACCCGACGGGTTCCGTGCGCAGTGCGGCCAAGTAGAACTCTCCGTCCGAGGCGTCCGAGAGCGCAACGACACCGTCTCGATCCTCAGGCTGGGGCGAGGGAAGGGGCGACACGGCCGCCTCTGAACGGAGACACTCCAATTTCACATCCCACGGCGCAGGCTCGAGGCACACGTCGTTGGAGATCGGGCGCTGGCCAGATAATTGGGATCCCGCTATCCGGCCACTCAGTTAGAGGGCAATCACAGTCAGTCAGGCGACTATAGCAGCCAGGGACGGTGCGATTGCCATCAAGCGCGCGCTCCTGTCTTTTCTGCTTGAGCCCAAATGGTCGCGGATAGTGCACACAGCGGACCCTAAGGCGGAGCGACGCACCAAACATCGAACACATCACTCCCGCGCACGCACTGACAAGGCTGCTGGACCGCTGCCGCACCGGGCGGTCTCGGGCTCCCCCGCCCTCCTGTGGGACTCTTCTGGTGTCTTTGGCTACCACTGGCAGAACCTGCGAGCGAAACGCTATTGGGGAACAAACTGAGGGGCATACAGTCGGACTTGATTGGGGAGGACACGCGAGAGGGCGCACGACCCGTCCGACGGCTACACGGGTCTCTAAAGACAGGACACAAGGTTACCCTTGACTTGGCAGGGTCGATCTACTAATCAAGGCCGACTGTGTGTCTGTGCTCTCACACTTGTACCACCTGCACCTGTTCTTTCTCAGGTCTTCCTCCTCGACCCGCCTCTTCACCCGTGCTGATATCAGGGCGCTTTGCTCAGGGCAATTTCCCGTCCTGGATCCATGTTTGATGCCCCGGGGCCCAATAACGAGCGCCAGAAGCTGGAATCCAGGAAAAACACCCAGATCTCGAAAATCAGATCCTCGGAGGACTGGAGACCTCAGACCTCGAGACCCCGACTCAGGCCCACGGCCCCCACGAAGTACCGCTCCAGCCACGCCAGGTCCTGGGGAAACCAACAGGTACCGATCAGTATTTCTCCCCGGACCAACCCCGGGATCCCTTCTGACTGAACTTCCGCGGCGAATCCAGCGGTGGCGGCGCGGGCCTCCCAGAAGGCCCAGAAAGGCCCAGGTAGCGGTATCGGTACCTTCCCTGAGGTCCGACGTTGCAAAAAGAATGCAACATCGCAGGAATTCACGACCGGAGCCCCCGACCCCATCTTTCTGCGTCATTTTTCGAGACAGTTCGATCTGCGAGGGTCCCCAGGCCCTGAGAAAGAGGGCGACGCCCGGCTCGGAGAATTTGAGGCGCCAGGATCTCAAGGTTTTCCTCCTCTGAAGTCCACGCCGCCAGGCACCGCCGCGCCCGCGTACGCGGGCGCAAGGTCCAGCCGCCCGGCGCACTTGGTCACGAGGGGCTCGCAGTCTTTCGGGCCCCAGATGCAGCTCTCCGCGGGCACGTACCTCGGCACGAGGGAGGCCCAGACCCGGACCCCCTCGCGTCGCGAGATGTCCAATCTTTGCAAGACGCCCTCGCGATCGTTTTTGTTGTCACGACGCCCTTGCGTCGTGCCTTTTCGGCATCTGGGGGCAGGGCCCCAGGGCCGTCTGAAAACAAACGGGATGAAAAGCGGGTCCCCAGAAAGCGGTCAAGACTTCCGTTGGTCCACGCTGTGGAAAAATCACGACGTCGGAAGACTGGGCAGGGCTCCTCCGAAACCACAGATGGCTTCTCGAAAAGCCAGATGGCTTCTGCGAAGCACCGCCGCCTTCTGAGAAGGCCTGAACCCCCCTCTCCCTTCCCCCCTCGGCGCGCCGACGAAGCTCGGCACGAGGGAGGCCCAGACATCACGCGGATTGGGTTGTCCGATCCCGGCGTATACCGTTTATTAGCTTCGGCCTCCGAAGGCCGTGTCTGGGCTCGTGGGTCAATCGAAGATGGATCCAGAACGCAGAACGGTCCCCAGGAAAGGCGTCGAGAGATCTTGGGCCGCGGCGTGACAAAACAAACACCGCCCGATGTCTGGGAGGAGTCTCGCGAGGACAGACGGGCCCTGGACCGCCCGGCTTTCCCCAGTGCAATGTGTCTTTGCCCAGCCTGGGTCCTTGTCTGCTCTCCTCCTCCTCCTCCTCCTCCTCCTCCTCCTCCTCCTCCTCCTCCTCCTCCTCCTCATCCTGTTTAGCACGCACAGGCGCCGCCGATACAGCACGCCTCACTTGAGAGCACGTTGGCGGCTCACGGTATCACCCCGCTCGCGCGCCGTCCAGACGCAAGGCATCTGAACCGAACTGGGGCTGCACCAGCGATAGGGCTAAACCAGGACACCGAGAAGCGAATTGCCCAGCATGCAGAAGAGGGGAAAGAGACGGACAGGGCCCAGGGTGGCCGCGGAGGAGCTGAAAGAACACATCGTCGGAGATGCGAGTACGTTCCAGGCAGTGCCACTCACTAAGGGGAACGCCACATCCTCCAGAGAACGGACTCCCCTGAGGACCCTCCATCAAACTCCCCGGGTCCCCCGAAGACGTCTCAAAACAGCTCAGGCCTCCTCGATCCTCGATCTCCGAATCCAGATCCCCGACGTCGTGACCTTCTGCACAGCGTGGACCCCCGAGGCCTCGACCCATTCCCCAGGACTGGCACGTCATCCCAGGTCGTTTCTTGACGGTCCCGTGGCCCGGCGAGGCCCCCCTCCCAAAGGCCAAAACGGCGTCAAACCTCGCGCTTGCGCCTTCTTCGCGACGCGAGGAGGCCAGGGCCCCTCGGCACTGCCCCATCTCGAGGAAACGTGAGGCTCGAGTTCGGGGGACTCGGGTTGGCCTGACAGGGCCATCAGGAAAATAACGCGACTCGGTCTGCAATGTGACGCGAACTCCCGCTGCAAACACATCCCACGACAACTGGACCGTCAAAAACCCAGGACGCGCTCGTCACAAAAAGCGTCGGCGAACCTGAACTCCGGCGCACTCGAGCCTCTTACGCTCCCCCGACCACCCTTGGAGGCCCAGCAGAGCACCCCGCGCCCGGGCACAGGACGGCGCCCCGGAGCGCGCGCCGCTGCCGCTGCGAGAGGGCCGCCGCGCCGCCCTGCGCGCCCGCGGCGTCCAGCCGCTCCTCGGGTCGGCAGGGCCGGCGGGGAACGAGCGAGCGAGGCCGAGGGACGAGAGCCGACGGGTGGGGAGTCCAGAAGGTATATCCTTGCACAAATCTAACGAGTTCTAGGCTGAGAGACTCGCCTTCACTCCGAGCGTTTGCTTGAGCAGCAGTCCAGGTGCAGAGATACGAACATTCTACGATAAGCAAAGCTCCAAGAAAACGCCCAGGTCCCAGTCCGGATTCTTGAGACCATCGGCTACACGCGAGAGTGACCCTGGGCAAGACTGACCTCTAGTGCGCGGACTACGGGAGCGCAAGCGGGCGCAAGGTGGCCAAATCCAAGCGCGCGGACAGCCGCTGTCGCATCGCACGCAGCGATCGGGGAGGCTCCAGTGAGCCCACACCAAAGGTCACTCCGACGAATGGTTACTCTCACGTGTAGTCGGAATCAGAGGGTACCAATACCGCTACTCCCCAGACCTTTCGCATGGTGCGTTGTGGCCAGAATCTCGAAGCGAATCCAGCGGCAGGCGATGAGAACCCCCCAGGAGGCTGAAAAGGGCGGGAGCAGGGAGAAGGGTGGCAGTAGCGGTACCTTTTCCTCGCCGGGTCATTTTTTGGAACTCCACCACGCACGCACACCACCACACGCCATCCTCGATACGCGCATCTGCTGGCTACGCGCAGGAGGGGCGAAAAGAGGACCTCGCCCTTGCAATGGACTACTATAGCCCACCAACACGGAGAGGTACGTTAATCAAAAAGTCGTATAGGCCCTTCATCAAGCCAAGCACCAGAGTCGAGAGTGGCAGCCATGTTCGGGTGCTTGCCTGAAATAGTACGCGACCAAGCATAACGTCTGCCGTGATCGGCGGGCTCGTCATTCCTTAGGTAGGGGGCCCACGCACTTTGTCCGAAGGTTGTGGACTCTCCCCCCGCACGTGCAGTACTTACACTTCAAGTAAGCTAATAAAATTCCTTCACCGTCGCAGTAGTCTAGCACGATCGGCTTATGGCCAGCGTCGCGCAATAAATCACCAGTTAAACTTTGATGCTAGGCGCACCGCGGCAATATCCTCCGATGGGCCTGTTTACACTACGTGAGGATCGCCAGCAGCCCGAACACAATCAGAACCTGCCTTCCCAATGCCACTCGTGGCGAGGACCTGGTGGTGCTTTGGGCATGGGCTGCGGCTTTAGCCGCAAAACATAAGTCAGATCAATCCTAGGGAACATTGGCATGACGCCAGCAGCAAGCAAACAGACAAGCCTAGAGACGAGCTGCTGCCTGCTAAGTCTATCACGCTCGGCCTGAGAGGGCTGGGAGTGTCGCGCGGCAGCCTGTCGGGCTGCAGCGTCAGCTAAATCACTTCCTAGCTTGTAGAACTTTTGCTCATCACTGAAATCGGGTTGGTCAAGCTGGTGCCCTTTGACCTTGATGATGTCACCCGAGGCCTGGCCCAGCGTTTGGAGCAAGAACCCAGCGTACGGGTGACGATTGGAGAGCTTGGCCGCAAGGGGCTCCAAGGCTTGCCGAACTACATTTAAACGATCCGAATACATAGGGGACCCCTCGACCCTGCATTGGGCCGCCGAACAGAACGCCGCAAATTCGGCAGCCTGAGGGGTCTGAGGAAACACATTCAGCAGAGGTCCCGAAATTGTGGCCAGGTGGTTACCCTGGCCATCCAAGAGAATAACCGCCCACCCCGCCCTGGCGAGCTCTGGAAAGACTTTCCTAGAACAGGATCCGTCGACGAATGTGTGTCCTTGGAGTCTCGTAGAGGTGCTATTGGGGTCCTGGCACCAGTAGATCTGCAACATATTATTAACGCCGTCAGCAGTAGGCATCGGAAACAAATCTCCTGGGTGTTCATAAAGCCCACGGGGGGGAAAAATACTCAGCAGGATCATTTGATTCAGAAAGTGCAGGAGGAGGGTCGAGTGCGGTTATACTTACCCAGAGTGTCTCTTCTCTGATCTTCGCAGGCTGGGCAGTGCCACAAGCGATGCAGTATGTTTGTTATCTTCAGCAAACCCGCATAGCGGGCACAAAGAATATGGCAGCTGGTAGCCAGCTGCTGTCGCTCTCGCTTTTGCCCACACCGCATTGCAACACATCGCCTCGATGCATCCTTTACGATAAAGGTTGAATCTCCTTTTCTGCAACATGGCATGCACCGGATCATGACACACGCGAACAGGTTGCGGTAGATGACTCAGCAGCTGTGCACCTGACCTGCGCTCGTGGTAGGCTTGGACGGCCAGGCGCAGGTGCATCGTCAAAAGGACTGGGGAGATGAGCGTCAGCGGGTACTCAACTCCCTTGTGGTCCACAATCGTAGTGAACGAGGGCATGTACCAACCTATTCTAGTGAGACTGAGCTTGATGGCCCCTATGGGCCCCGAAACTGTCTTCCAGGAAATCGGTCCAGGGCTCCGAAACACCAATCCCAG